AATAATATTTTGGTGTCAGTTTTATATTTACACTGATCTACAAAGATGTGTAACTGTGAAATAACTCACCACTTTGTACTGTTCACTCTCCAGTATCTCCGGCACATCCCGAAAGGAAAGGATAGTTTGTTTAATGCGGTGGAGAAGAGATCGAGTCCATTTGATGGATCCTGCTACAGGAGGCTCACTTTTATTTAGCGGCGGTTTATCTTTCTGTACCTCAAAGAGTTCCTTTATGCTGTCCACCTACAACAAAGACAAAAAGACTTAGCCACTCTACAAAAGTGCTTGACAGACTATTGCTCACTCTCTTCAAAATTCTAATAATAAATGTGGTACAGCAGCACAGCCTGAAATAATTCTTACAGGAGTATTGAACGATGGGACTGCATGCAATGTAATGTACAGGTTCAATACAGATTATTAAGCTTATTCCTGATGCATCAAAAATATACTGATTAAATCTCATAGGTAGTTACTACATTTAGTTAGCTGCAACACAGTGTAACATTACAAGTCATTCAGGCTTGCATCCTTCCCTAGAGTGTAAGTCACATTGCAAGACATGGATGGAGCCACTATTTACAACTCACATATTCTACTGAGTACTCTGATAGTATTTCAACTTTAACTGAAAGGTCAAATATCAGCCAGTACTTTTCTGATTTCATAACACAATACCTCTTTGCAATACTGAGCCAGAATGTCATTAAACTTTCGCATCAAATAGTTGTTGATGGCCTCTCTGGTGCTGATGTGTTTTAAATTCAGAAGCATTTTAAAGGCAGCAGCTGAAAAGGGCAGTGTCTGAAAAGCCTGATCAATGAAGCTGAAGATCTCAATATTCTGAGAAGACACATGGAAAACATGAATCAGCTTGATAACTGGAGGTGAAAACTGACAAGTACATTGTCACTTCTATGCCTAATTAAATTATTTTCACACCATCTGCATCCTAAACGCCCTGAAATCCTGAACTCACCTGAACTGCAGAGTCGAAGTCTTGCATTACCATTCTCCAGCTGCTCATCTTACAGATGCTAAATGGACTAAAACGGACCTCCTTAATAGGCAAAACCAGACGGTCGATTCTGCACAGCATTTCATCAATATGGTTTGGGTCACCAGTCAGATTTGTTAGCTCTGGGCCAAAGATGTTATGAAACTCCTCCAAAATCTGCATAACACAAATGTGTGAAAACTCTCTTGCTTTTTGTACATTCACATCTTCAGTTATTGAGTAAGAGGTTATTATTTGTTTATGTACACTGACTTGTAGAACATTGTACAGGTCCTGGCAAACAGAAGCCATGTAGTCAGTCCTCTCGAACAGCCTCTTACGGTCAAATTCCCAGCGTGAATGCCTTCCTGATTCTTCAATTTCAGCACGCATCTCAAAGTAAGATGACTTCCACTGATCCAGAACCTCTTTAGCATCATGAACCTTCACTTTGGCCACTTCCCTCTTATCTCTGTCAAAGGAACAGCAAAATAAGTTATACTGTAACTACAAAACAACCTATTTGAATAAAAGTTTCAAATAGGATCTGAACTTCCACTGTAGAACTGAAATGCGTGGACACATACTCGAATAGCGTGTGGACATCGATTACTTGAGACACACGTTCACACAGCTGCCAGGCAATACGTTCCATTAGAGGGACCATACGCTCATCTGTGTTATAGTGGTGAGACATTAGCCATATAATTTGCAGGCTGTCCATCAGAGGAGGGATGTTCTCCAGGATTACACGAAGATTTGCTCCAGTAGCTAGATTCTACAACAAAAAATGGTACAGTAACTTTAATAGACATAAAAGTAAAGAAAGCAGAACACTAGACACTATTCTGATTCAAAAAAATATCATCAGCAAATGTGTATTATGTTACTACCAGCTCTTGGAAGTTACACTGTTCACTGACAACAGAGAATAAGTCAAAGAACATTTATAAAAAGTGCAGCTCACCATGAAGTATCTTTCCAACGTGCTGAGGAAGCGTAAATTATCCTCTGCCTCCAAACAATGTTTAGTAAGTTCAGCAACCGTTGCTTCCAGGGTTTGAACAATGCCTGCTTTGGCTTTGGTGATCACAGCCAAGATTTTCTTTACCACAGGCTGTTTCAGCTGCTCACTCAAAGCACTCAGAATTGATGCACGTTCCTGCCAGAAAGTTATCTCACCAAAAGGGCCAGGTGCCTGAAGGAAGAAGGAAGACAACTATGACTTGTGACTTCTACTTACAATTACTTCTACCTAATAATTTCATTTTGACCTGAAAAGGATTTAATTTTTGGGTAATATTTCAGCAGAAACTATACATGTGAAGGCCAGGTTTGATCCCAAGTCTGTCAGCTGAAGCGCAGGTTATGTAAGTGTGATACCACCAAGCCTGCCTGGGTTGGAACTCAGTATATAAGGAGAGTCACAAACCTGTGGCTTTTTGTTCTGCTGCACCTCCAAAACAATGGTAATCTGAGTCTGCCAGTTCATCACACACTGCTCCAACTGCTCTACCACCTCTGGATTAGAAAGCAGTGCATCCACCTCTGACTCCAGGTCCAGTTCAGGAATGTGTAGCATCTCACCTGTGATGAGGAGCACAATTTTTAAGTTGTACTGTACATGTATAAATACTATGAAATGAGCATTACAGATAAGCATGATCAGTATTTTAAGGCTTGTTTTTCTATTGACAAAAATAAATAAATACATTTCTGATTAATTGGTGTGTGTGTGTGTATTTTAGACTATTCTCGTGCATTTAAAAAATATGTTCTATGTTCTGCTGTAAGTGAATACTCTTCACAACGGTTTGCAATAAACAAAGTCCTCTCATAGCAGTGACAGATCAAAATATGCTTAGAAAATGAGGGAATAAATGGGGAATGCCAAGGGGTTGCTGATTCTGAAGAGTTCTATACAGTTTTAACTTGATTTTTAATAATAACATATCGATAAATCACTAAAAGAAAACATAATAATAATGAGTCCTTGGTGCTATATATCAAATAAAACAAACCCTGAAGCTGAAGACACTGGATTGTTCTGTTGAGCACTCCCAAAAACTTGTATGTCCTGTTGAGCAAGTCATCACGAGGCATAAATTGCTCGACTAACTTTGCAGGACTCTGCTCTTCACCCTCTCCATGGGTCACCTGCTGGGGAGACACTGTCCCACTTTGATAACCTGCACCAGTAATCTTCATTTGCTGTGCAGTAAGCAAGGGTATATACACCTGGCAAGAGACAGAGTGAAAATATGCATCCTATATTCATTCCACAATATGTTGACTGTCCTTCTTCGGTTGTTACATAAAGTTTTTGACTGATAGTGATTGCTGTTGGTTGTTTGTGAATTTGTTTTTCATTTTACATTGGCAAGTTTATCCTGCAGCACAAGAAGGGGGTCTCCACTTTGCATGCCCATGTCAAACAGTCTGGGCATCAGGATATTAGCCTCAGTCATGTCCATTGGTTGGACAACGGTCTCTATTAAAACAAAAACAATGTCTTGGTAATTCTTTTCTATGTGTAACAGAAACTTGAGTATGCATTACTGTAATGATACTGAACTGTCATCTCACCCTTTGTGCTCCTAATAAAGTAGAAGACACGGGAGTTCAAAAATCTCTCTGGGTATTCAGTAACTGTGACATGAAGCTCAGTGTGATAGACCAACTGAACCTCAGTCCTCTGAAAAACAGAAATGGGTTAAACATTTGTATTAGCTCTATCCTTTCCATCAATTACAGGCTACATTTATAAATTATTTCAAATACAGTCACAATCTGAAAGTAATTACGACAAGATGCTTCAAGTTGGAGTTTGATCTCACATGGCTGGGACTTGGCTCATTTAGCTCCTCTGAGCCTGGGGTCAGCTCTGCTCTACTTTGGCTGCTGGACGTCTCATTGGGATCTGAAGAGTCTCTCTCTTTACTTATTTCTGGAGTTATAAATGTGTAGTTAGATGCAGTACGTGTTAACCACTCAAAAAAAGTTTTATCAACAAATATATAGCCATGAACACATGTGTACTTATAAAATTCTGTCATACTAACTAGATTAGCCTCTTTTTTGACAGTTGGGCTAACGAGGAAACTATTAGCGTTTTATTTTGACTCGAATTTATGTAACTTGAACACAAATTGGGGCTACCTTACCCAACTTACCGACTGGAATTTCAACCTCAACCTCGTCCTCTCTAATAACTTTGAAAATATAAAGACATAATGGGGAGTCTTCCTCAGAGACTACGTTCAAATATCGGATAATTTTCTGTTCTTCTTCTCCATCTCCCCGACTGAGTAGTTCGTCGAAACACTCGGGGCACTTTGATAAATTGAACCCTGCAGTTACCCTCTGTCGGATCCACTCCACTCGTAAATCGTCGTGGGCCATATGTTCTCGTACTGTTAACATTAAACCGTAAAACCTGCTGCTTAACCCTCCGCCATTTAAAACTTTGTCAGCTAACGGCAGGCAGCTAAGTGTACTGGTTGTCGGCAGTGGCTGTTCTCGTTGCCTTGGCAACCACTAAACGTCGCTTTGGTCGGAAATTTTTCCCAGATTAATGACTAACAGGCAACTACCTGCTCATATTAAGGTATCAGGCATCTCATAAACTGTAGAGGGCTTTGGTCAAGGATCTAAAAGCCTTTATGCCTTTTCCCCACAGAGTAGGTAAATAGGATCCCTGGCATGAAAACTTTTCAATCCAAAATTCAATGCTTCATAAAAAATGATGGCAGGGTGGCTGCAAATTATTGATTACCAAAGCCAGTCAATTACTCCATCAACAGATCAATGTAAAATTATAATGAATAAAACGCATAAATAACAAACAAGGAGCAAATAACAGCAAATAACTTTTGAAAAATTACGGAATTATCAATAACTGGGTAATCAAAATGAGTTTACACAGTAATAAAAATAGCAAAATAATTAGCTATATGATAAATAATGATAAAATACATTGTTTTTTACACTTTACCATTTAATTAATGCATAATCAGTTAATACATCAGAAATTTGCAAATCCATGTTTTGCAAACCCTCTCCATTATACTGCACCAAAGGTTTTATATAAAGTCAGAGTGTGTGTGTGTGTGTACATTTAATACAAATCACAAAAAAAAAGTTTAAAAAGAAGCATAAAGTCACCTTCTGAAGGTTTACAGACTGAACTTTGAAAAGGTGTTTCTACACACAAGTTTCAAGTTGATGCGGTCATTCTGTGATGCAAGTCCTTAAACATATTAAACATTTTATTATTGGCATGAGGATGAACACAGAAGGATTTTCTAAAAAGAATTGGACTATGGAGTGTTTGGCAACGATAGAAGGACAATTCTTAACATTAAAATGAAATGGAAGATTAGGGATGAATTTGAAGAAATTAAAATACCAATTTAAGCAATTCATAAAACAATTCAGTGTTAGGCAAATGACTGCTAATTGTAAACAGCACTCAAACCTAACAGTGGCTGCCACTTGTAGCATGAAGATTCAACAGTATTTGTTCCACTGTTATCAATTAAAAATCAACCTTTTGACTTTCAAAAACATTAATGTAATGAAGTGTTTCCAGTGAAAATGTGCAGACAATTAAGTCTCTTCCCTTAGGAAAAACATCTTAATAACTGCATTCAATCCCAAGACATTCACAAAATGAGTAGATACTACTGCTAGTATCAATACTGTACTCAATTTGGATATAGGAATTTTATCTAACGGGCTCCCGACCAATAGAGCCGATTCAACAAATCAATGCAGGAAAGTTACAGCAACTTATAAACACAGAAAGAAAACTGTGAATACATAAAAATGAAAATCATATCCCACTCCACTTTAATTCTGATGCATTTTAAAATAAATTAAAAAATAATTCTCTGAAAGTACACATATATGTATCACTAAAGTACCACAAAGTAGGCATACAAGGGAAACATAAGAACAATACAGTATGCTGTCATTTGGTTACAGTTTTGTAAGGCAGTCAGTGCAACAACAAGGAGGAATTACATATGTGAAAGATGGCTCAGTGTATGAAAACCAGATCTGCCAAAACTGAGAAAATTCAAAATAATTGCATGGACACAGACATTAATGCTGAAATTAATGACAAAAATAACTAGACAATGAGAGAAGAAATTGAGGAAAACAATAATATTTAAGAAAAAAATTTATCTAACTTTAACGATTATCAATTTTAATTTGTTGTAGAAATACCATGTTACATAAATTTACAGTGAGAAAAACACCTATTTGTCCACTGTCCATGTTCCTGAAACTCTCAGGAGGAAGTTTCTTTCCAAAGTTTGTGAAGCTCCGCAAACACTTTCTTTACAGGATAAACAGTTAAAAGATCAGGAAGAAAACTTAGAATCACCTAATAACATGTCTGTAGTAAGTCCTTACAAGCACAGAGCCCTGCTGGCTTGTTTGGGCTCCATTTACTACCTAACAGCATTACCACAGAATTCCTTCACAGTAAACCATCCTGCTCAAAACTGGAAGGCAGAAGAGAGAAGGAAAAGGGACAAAACTTGATTCCAGTCCCACTGTAGAACTTATTCTGAAACTCCACCCTGAGGAAAAAACAAACAGCTGCTATAAACAGGAAACACCAAGATAATTCAAAGCAACAACACAAGTACATAACTGGATATTTTTATCTTACCAGTGCAGTCGGAGGGCATGAAGGAATGCAGACAGACCCTCCATTACCAGAAGGATTGACACAGTGAGAATTGCAAACAGGCCAAACACAGGCACCAGAAATAAAACCCCGAGAGTGGTGTCCATGCGAAGTCCTACTCGCATCACCATGGACCACAGCACCTCTGATAGCTCTGTGAAAGCAGAGAAACAAACATATGCACCTTGCATTTAAGGAAGTTAAATGAATCAGGACAAGGGGCAAATGCCAGTTACTAATATTTAGTCTGAATGATTGGTCTACATTTGATGGTTAGACTCCTTTTATGTCTCTGGTCATGACCAAGGCTGCAAAATGGTTTGAATGGACTTGGCATCATTGTTTGGCATAACATTTGTCATGAGAGACTGGTCACCTTATCAAGCCCTAACAGACACATTTCACTCTGAAATTTTGTAATTTTACAGGTCAGAGCTTTGTTTGAAAGGGACTCCAAGTCATTTTTCCAGTGTAGTCAGGCTGCTAAGCTGACAAAAGGTGATCCAGTAAGATTTCTGTTACACTTCCACCAAACCTCAGTTGAAAGTCATATTAACAGAATGGCTACAGTGCACACACAAGGTGACAG